CACAGTTGGGCAGAATCGTCTAACACAAAGCCTATTTTGTAATAAAATGTTGACTATCTTATGTAATTTATTGAATACTGTACTGAAAGTGAAAAACAGAATGGTTTTTATGGGTACTTAAAGTACAGTTTCTACCGAATGTGTACTGCCTTTGTACCACTGTAAAATTGAAAAATCCTAAGTCAAACCATTGTAAATTGGGGACTGTCTGTATATCGTGAATATTTTCTTCTGTCAGTTTTTTACTTTATCATGCACCCATCTTTTAAGATCTGGCTCATTTGTGGATCCTGAACATCCCAGCTTAGAAGTCTCTATTCCCTTCTCTGAAGTCCCAGAGCACTTCAATTTTACCTTTCACAGTAGTTGGTATCTTTTTATGGAGCACATCATATTTCACCTGTGTTTTAGCTATTTTTTCCTATTAGACTCAAGACTCTTTAAGGACAAGATCAGTGGCTTTTTTTTCTAGTCCCATAGTACCTAGCAGATGATCTTGCACTTAACAGATATTACTAAGTGAACTTACCAGATACTTACTGAATAAGTGAACAAATAAAACCAGAAATATGGCCAGTAGCAGAAGCACTACCTTGCTTTCACCTGAAGAAGGTGTTTGCGCACATGCATGTGTGTGTATGCTGTACTCATACATGTTAGGGAGGTAGGCGGTGGGAGTCCAGCAGCAGAAGCTACCACCACACCTCCTCACAATATATCTCAATTAAATTATTTAAAGCAGGCAAGGAGTGTGGTAGCAAGGAGCCTATGGAGACATCTGCCCAGAAATATTTGGTTTTCAAATTCCCTCTAACACAGATACCAATTTACCACTACTATGTAGATTCTTATCTACATACCAGTAATCATAAAAATATTTACCTATGTAATATGAGTTTTATAGTGTATTAGTTTGCTAGGGCTGTGTATTAGTTTGCTAGGTCTGTGTATTAGTTTGCTAGGTCTGTGTATTAGTTTGCTAGGTCTGTGTATTAGTTTGCTAGGGCTGCTGTTACAAAGTTCCANGGTCATCTTTTAAAAAAAATAAATAAATAAAAAGCAGACACTTTTCACACTTAGCTTTCTTCACTTAACAGTATATACAGGAAATCACTGCAAATCGTTTTATAGAAATTGCCCTTATTCTTTTTTACAGCTGCATAGTGCTCCATGGTTTGGATGTACTGTAGTTTGTTCAACCACTCTCCTATGTATGAGCATCTAGATTGCTTACAGTATTTCACAATTCATTGTTGGAGGTATATTCTTAGAAATGGGATTTCTGGCTCATACAGTGAGTGCATATGTACTTGTATTACGTATTGCCAAATTCCCCAGTGTGTGTTCCGCCAGCAGTATATGAGAGTAACTGTTTCCTCAGCCTCACCAACAAAACATGTTGTCATGCTTTTTAATTTTTTGTCTGTCTGATAGTTGAAAAACAATATCTCAACGTTGTTTTAAGTAATGGTTCTCTAATTATAAATGAGTTTGAACATTTTTTATATGTTTGAGGGGCATTCCTTATATCTTTTTTGTGCATTGTCTAATTCAGTTCCATCACCCTTTTTTCTACTGTTTTTGGCCCTGTGCCCCTCAATTTTTAAAAGTTCTTTATATATTAGGGGTATTAGCCCTTTATTTGTAATATACAGGTGCTTCTCAACTTATTGATGGCTTTACGTCCTGAGAAGCCCATTGTAAGTTGAAAATATCATAAGTTGAAAATGTATTTAATATACCTAACCTACTGAACATCATAGCTTACCCTAGCCTACATTAAACATGCTCAGAACCCTTACATTAGCCACAGTTGGGCAGAATCGTCTAACACAAAGCCTATTTTGTAATAAAATGTTGACTATCTTATGTAATTTATTGAATACTGTACTGAAAGTGAAAAACAGAATGGTTTTTATGGGTACTTAAAGTACAGTTTCTACCGAATGTGTACTGCCTTTGTACCACTGTAAAATTGAAAAATCCTAAGTCAAACCATTGTAAATTGGGGACTGTCTGTATAT